TTTTCCGTGGATCCTGGATTACAGCAATACGAGAACCATTGGAAATGAGTGCACGATGTATTAATTCAGTCAATATTTTGGATAATGAAAATAAGTTAGTAGTTCGTAGAAAGAACTGCAGGGGATCAGTAAGAGGCAGGAAAAGATATCAAATGTGATGTTTCACTAAATTTATTATAACTATATGAATATACCTATATATTATTGATAAATGAGAATTTGGACTGTATAATAAGGCCTTCACCATGACTCAGAATAGCATTCGAAACGTCGTACTTATTATTTTTCAAAACAATACATGAAGTGTTCAGTCGATTGATGTTTGTTCTGCCTGAGATTCTTCCAAACCGAAGTCAACGACGTAAATAATCACGATAATAACACAAGACGTGTTGTGTTCTTTTATCGGTGCTCTTACATACGGGCCTGGTATTGCCAGGTGATTAGGGCGCTCGACTCGCAGTCTGAGGGTCGCGAGTTCGAATCCTCGTCCCACCAAACATGCTCGCCCTTTCAGCCATGGGAGCGTTATAATGTGATGGTCAATCCCACTATTCGTTGGTAAAAAAAGTAGCCCAAGAGTTGGCAGTGGGTGGTGATGACTAGCTGCCTTCCTTCTATTACACTGCTAAATTAGGGACGGTTAGCGCAGATAGCCCTCGTGTAGCTTTGCGCGAAATTCAAAACAAACAAACAATCTTACATACGAGTAGCATGTACCGAAATCGAATTTTTAAAATGATAATCGCTTACACTTACCTCTAAGCCATCGAGAGGCGTTTTGGAAGGAAAAGAGTCCTAAATTTTGTAGAAATAACTTATAAAAAGTAGTTGTTTTAACGAATAGCAGAATAGAAGCTTCATCATTAAGTTTTGTTTCGTGTTAGCAAATGTAAAAAAATGTTTAAGTTACTTGAAGAATGACGAGCAGTGTTTTCGGATGGACGAACACCAGATGTACCGGTTAATCTTATGCATAATTTACATGTAAACCTGTTTATGTGCCTAAATACTTTCAAGCAAAAAGAAACGAAACAAAGGAGTACATCCCAAGTTAATAAGCCACGAAGTCTGCTATAAGGTTACACTGGTGCAGTAGAAAGAGAAGTTATCTGTCTTTATGTAAATATTTCCCTTACCATTGATTTTTAAGAAAAATATATATATCCCTTGAATATAGATGTGACAGGTGTATTTCAGTGATTTATCGCATGGATGTTTTTTTAACATTTGTACTGGACTGTAATTTTGTTTTCGTAGAGCTATACTGGTGATGAGACTCCATATTTGTTAAAAATGGCGTCCTTGTTTTGTTTGTTTGCTTTAGGGCAAAACATTGGGTTATCTGTTGTGTCTTCCGCAAACTTACCTCTGTTCCACCGGGTGACAAAGTGGTTTTATATTTAGCCCTTGTTTTTATTACTAGTGACACAGAGAGAGTTGTAGAACTAGAATACGAAATACTGTTCATTTACCCTCTTCACAAACACCTATCAATTAAAACTAAAACCATGATTTTAACTATTCAGTTACCCTCTTCACAAACACCTATCAATTAAAACTAAAACCATGATTTTAGCTATTCAGTTACCCTCTTCACAAACACCTATCAATTAAAACTAAAACCATGATTTTAACTATTCATTTACCCTCTTCACAAACACCTATCAATTAAAACTAAAACCATGATTTTAACT